TTTTTTTTTTTTACAAAACTGGTAAAAAATAGGAATAAGGTATTATAGTCATTTACCATATAAGGTTATTTTAGGTATTCCTTTTATTTATTTAACTTTATTTAAAGAATGGGTTAGTTAAACAAAAAACTTTTTGAAAGGGTTATTTAAATAAATTCTTGCTTTGACTATCCCCTTTAAACAAAAGCCCCTGTGGATGGGGTTTCATTCTTCTCCACCCCCACAATTCTTATACTTTAAAAATAAATATTTAAGACAATACAATATGTTCATGTTTGATTCCACTTCATTTGTTTTCATCTTGGTAGTCCTCTTGTCAACGAGTTAAGTGAGAATGAGCACAAATATAATGTTATAAAATCATCCTCAAATGGTAAATTACTACTAGCATTGCATTACCCTAGTGAGATTCAATTTTATTGGATCAATATACTTACTGTTTTAGGTAATATTATTATATGTACGATGTGTTGTTAGAATATTTATGGTCATCGTGTGCGTTTTAGTTTGATGATGTCCCCGATACGAGTTCATGAGGATTTATTATGTTAAACCATGCAGGTGGATTAAATTCCGACATAGTAATAATGCGATGAACGAGCGCTAGTTTTGGTGAAATAAATAATGTATTAATTAATATTTGGTTGTCAGTAATCGAATTAATTAATAGACATTATATTTTAAACATGATGAGGTAATTCGGGTAATTATTATTGGAGTCTCAAATTATTCTCATGGTAAATTACTACTAGCACTACACCACCCATGTAATACAACATTACACTTATTTAAGAAAATTATATTACAAATGAAAGTTATATTTCAAATCAAGATCATCAAAAGATTATAATTTTAAAATATTAAATAATAACAAATTAAAATTTATTGCATTTTAAAATATATGTAAAATTTAGTTAATCAACATTTTATAATACAAAAGTATTAAAGTTATATATAAAATTTTAGAGCTACATGTAAAGCAATGAAAGTTGAGATATATGATTACAAAATAACAAAGGTTAACACACGAGTTTGAAAACTCCAAAATAGGGCTGTGATTCGTGCGAACACTCTAGTCGAAATCGAGTTTGATGAGCTCGAGCATGTAGTTTGTATCTCGAGGTGTTCAATCAGCCACTCGAATATACACGAAGTCACCAAAATTCTTCTCATTATAAATTTTTTAGTTAAAATTTTTTAGCGAGAAAAATTTGAGTCGATAGCATTAAATACTGATGTCAAGCGTTTGTATCTTGTTATCAAGTCAAATCGAGCCTCATGCAAGAGCTGTCGAGTTCTAGCTCGCAAGCATATGTCAAAAAAATTAAGCATAATTCGATGCGACCAATGTTCAACTCAATTCGACTCGTTTGCAAGTATGCTTCAGAATAAAATAAATAAAAACACAAAATAATTTCTGTTTGGATCCACCTCATGAACAGAACTTCCATTTTCCGACCTTTTTACAGCTCATTTTCGGTATATAAAAACCCTACTCTCTCTCTCTCTTCTCTTTCTCTCTCACACACACAGACACGCACAAAAGCAAAGACTGATAAAGAAAACTCACCTCTGCACACAGCTAACACACACATTCAGACAACTCACAGGGACACACACTAGCTCATCTTCTTCCCCCATTTTTCCCCCAAATCTCGAAAACCCTAATTTTCCCCCACCAAATGCCTCGCCCCTAGCTCCACCCCCATCGCTCACTCTCTCTCTTGCCTCCATCTCCGCCGATGACTCTCGCTGTAGCTCTCTTCTTCCTCCTGCTCCACCGCCATGTCTCCGCCTCCAACGACGAGGTCAAATCACTCCTTGAGTTCAGGAAGGGCATCAAATCCGACCCCTCCGGCCGGGTCTTTTCCTCCTGGGTACCCCCCTCCAACGCCTCCGCCTGCCCCAGCGGCTTCTACGGCGTCTCCTGCGACGAAGCCACCTCCGCCGTGGTCGCCGTCGCCCTCGACGGACTCTCCCTTTCTGGGGACCTGAAATTCAGCACCCTCATCCCGTTAAAGTTCCTCCAGAACCTGACCCTCGCTGGGAACTGGCTCACCGGGCGCCTCGTCCCGACTCTCGGGGTAATGTCGTCTCTCCAGGTGATTGATCTATCTGGTAATCAGTTCTATGGGCCGATTCCGTCCAGGTTGAATGACCTTTGGGCCCTGCATTATCTCAATCTGTCGAACAATAATTTCTCTGGATGGTTTCCTGCTGGAATTCGCAACCTCCAGCAGTTGAAAGTTTTGGATTTGCACTCGAACCAGCTTCAGGGGGTTATGGGGGAATTGATTCCGGAGCTGAGGAATCTGGAATATGTGGATTTGAGCAGAAATGGTTTTTCCGGTTCAATGGAACTCAGTGTGGACAATGTCTCTAGTTTGGCCAACACAGTGAAGTATGTGAACTTGAGCTGGAACAATTTGGGGGGTCGTCTATGGGGGGATGACGCCATGAGATTGTTTCGGAACTTGCAGGTATTGGATTTGGGTGATAATATGATTGGTGGTGAACTTCCAGAGTTTGGGGAGCTGCCGAATCTTCGTACGCTCAGGCTGCAGAATAATCAGCTTTCTGGGTCTGTACCTGGGGAGTTACTGCAGGGAGCTGTCCCATTGGTTGAGTTGGACCTCAGTGTTAATGAATTTTCTGGTGAGGTTTTGTCCTTTATTTTAAATTGTCTTTATCGCCTTGCATCAATGTTCCTTCTCACCGACTATTTTTGAAGTGTTTGCTTTTAATGTAGATAGATAGACTGTATGATTTAGGTTGTCATAAAGCCGTTAAAAAACACGTGTACCTATGTTTTTGATTTCCGAGCTGTGGTTTGTGCATTTACATTATTATGATTGGAAAGTAACGAAATCTGGATCTTTCCGAGCTCTGGTTCGTGCATATATGTTACTATGTTTGGAAAGTAACAAAATCTGGATCTTTCAGTTGATTAGGTAGACACGTGCCGATTAAATTTTATGTTGTATGTACCTGTGATCGTATGCACTCTGGCTCGTTTGCATCTTATTCTTCCTCAAAATATTGGTGGCTATGTTTAATGATAAACTAAACAATGGACTGTCTCCCCATTTTCCCCTTTTTGTCTGAATAATGCAATTATATTTCCTTGTATATAGGATTCTTTCCTACTAGAGACTAGTCAAAACAACGTTGTGTTAGAAGAATATTTAAAATGAGTGGCTATGAGATGAAAATGTTATGCTGGAAGTTGATATAATATAGGAATCGTAAAATATATATTTGATAGATAAGAATATGTGGGTGGGTAAATAATGGAATTTGTTGGAAAAATGTGATTGAGTAGTGCATATTCCTAAAAGTTTCATAAGAAATAGAACTTTGGACGGAAAACTTACAGCAAAAAGAAACTAAAAGTTCTTGTATCCAAAACCAACACATGCTTCTCCGGTTGTTATGGTCTTTGTAACTACTAACTCGGCACACATAGTTACAAAACAAAGAAGAATTCAATTTTGCAATAATCTTTTAGTTGTAAGTTGGAACATAACAAAAATGAATTGCAGCAATAAGCGACAACGATGGAATTGATTCAATTCATATTTACATAATACACGAACTTTTCAGATGAAAACCGATGCCTCTATGCCGTCTCTGATAATGATGAATGAGAGTCACTTGTTCTTCTAGTGTATGATTATGTTTTCCATGGATTTAATTACTGGTTAATAATGGAATTCCTTATCCCACTGATGAAATAGCAAATGTTCCCGACTTCATGAATTTGATGCTGAACAGACACATTGTACTGAATTCTATGAATATTGTTTCAATTTTTTTGTGTTTGTTATCTTACTGCTAATTTTCATCTTATTTTCCTTTGTTTTATTTATTTATTTTTGTTTTGTGCGCGGCAACCTTTTCGCAGAAGGGATTGTTAACTTACTATTTGCATTATACATTTTCAGGTCCCATCCCAGTGATCAACTCAACAACTTTGGTTACTCTCAACCTCTCATCAAACTCAATCTCCGGTCCCTTGCCGCCATCATTAGGAAATTGTCTGAATGTCGATCTTAGCAGAAATCTTCTATCAGGCGACATATCTGTTTTAAATAACTGGAACTACAATCTGGAAGCTTTAGACTTGAGCTCCAATGGCTTGAGAGGTATCCTTCCCAATTTGACACAATTCGAAAAATTGACTTTGCTCAGAGCTAGAAACAATTCGTTGGAGGGGCCATTGCCTTTTACATTGGGCTCCAAACTCGTCACAGTCGATCTGAGCTCCAACAGATTCGATGGCCCAATCCCGCATAGCTTCTTTACTTTGCTCACCATCACAAATCTTAACCTGTCCGGCAATCATTTAACTGGACCCATTCCTATCCAAAACTCTCATGCGAGTGAGCTATTGGTTCTTCCTACAATTCCACCGATGGAGTCTCTAGACCTTTCAAATAATGCCTTAACCGGTGAATTACCATCGGATATAGGTAACTGGGGGATGCTTAAGTTGTTTAATCTCTCAAGGAATAATCTGTCCGGACAGATCCCTAGCGAATTAAGCAAACTTACTGTTCTGGAGTATCTCGATTTATCCCATAACTATTTCAACGGTCACATTCCTGGTAGACTGCCGTCAAGTCTTAAGTTCTTCAGCGTGGCTTACAATAATTTGTCCGGAAAAATCCCCGAAAATTTGGCTGGCTTTCCCGATTCTTCATTTACGCCTGGAAATGATGGGCTCGACCAGCATCATCATGGTTCCCCTTCGGATAACCATGTTCAGAATCAGCTAGACAACAGAACCCACCACCACTCTAAAACTAGCATCACTATAGCTATAATTGTAGCATGTACTGGAGCTGCCGTGATGATAGCTGTTGTTCTTTTTGCCTACCGTCGGGCCCGCCTTCACGATTTTCGTGGCTTCCGTGGACCCTCTGGTGGTCAAGAAGTCAAGGTGGGAAGACTTGGCCGTCCTTCACTTTTCAATTTCCACACGGGAGGTGCAGGCCCTCCCCCAACCTCATTGAGCTTTTCCAATGACCATCTGTTGACTTCTGGTCAAAAGGGGTCCGGAGAATCATCTGGTGGTGCGGGACCCGCTGCTACTGGTCAACCGGATAACAGTCACCCGACAACATCCGGAAGGAAGTCATCCTCTCCGGACTCTCCAATGGCTTCGTCCCCTCGATTTATAGACGCAATAGGACAATCTGTGACGTTAAATGTATATTCGCCTGATCGATTGGCTGGGGATTTGCTTTTCTTGGATAATTCACTTGTATTTACAGCAGAAGAGTTGTCCAGGGCCCCGGCAGAGGTTTTGGGTAGGAGCAGCCATGGGACGCTGTACAAAGCTACACTTGATAATGGGCATATGCTGGCCGTCAAGTGGTTGAGGGTCGGGTTAGTCAAGAACAAGAAAGACTTTGCAAAGGAAGTGAAGAAGATTGGTTCTATTAGGCATCCGAATATAGTGCCTTTACGTGCTTATTATTGGGGGCCAAGAGAACAAGAGAGGCTTATCTTAGCTGACTATGTGTCGGGCGACAACTTGGCCTTGCATCTTTACGGTATGCTCATTCTAATCTTTTCATCTGAACTTGATCATTTTTGGTAAATTAATATTAGAACTTTCCATGAGTTGATGATATCAAAAAAATACTAATATTCTACATTATTC